AAGACAATGAGGAGGAAACCAAACCTCACAGAGGAAAGAGAAAAGAGAAAGGGATCCGGTCAGACAGAGGATAAGGGAAGAGGAAGAGCTATGAAGAGAGGAAGAGCTATGAAGAGGAAGAGATATCAGTCAAACAAAGCAAATGACACATCCCACAGATAAACCAATTGCCACTGTCACAACAAAGTTCAACATATTTTACATTGTTTTTTCTTATTTTCGTTTTTCTTGTTTTCTTTTTCCTTTCCTTCGGCAATTTGTTTTTTTTTTTTTCTTTTTCTTTTTTTCATATATATATTTTTTTCTTATTTTTGTTTTTCTTGTTTTCTTTTTCGTTTTCTTCGGCAATTTGTTTTTTTTTCCTTTCTTGTTTTCTTTTTCGTTTTCTTCGGCAATTTGTTTTTTTTTCCTTATTTTCTTTTTTCTTTTCTCTTTTCGTTTTTGCAATTTTTGCTTTCTTTTTTCTTCAACTCCAATTTGTTTTTCTTTTCCTTATTTTCTTTTTTCTTTTCGTTTTTGCAATTTTTGCTTTCTTTTTCTTCAACTCCGTATCTGTTGGTAGAGTCTAAGTTTATATCTGTCCTACAACTACTAGTGTTGCTCCTGGCTGACCTGCTTGGTTCTATCCGACAGCCAGGAAGAGGAGCCCCCACCCCACCCCACCCCGGCAGATAGGACAGGCACGCTGAGGATGACGTGGGTGTTCACAAGGATACCCAAGGAGAGCTGCGCCAGCACAGCATTCAGCAGGACGGCTAGCACGGACCATCCCATCCCATCGCATCAAAACAGTCCTGACAAAGGACATGCTGTCCACGTGTCAAAAAAACAGCAGGACGTTCATCTCAGTGCGTCATCATGCAGTCCTGATAGCGTCCTTGCGCACAAAAGGGACAACGAATATCTGGGTGATAGGGATGTGTACAGTGAGGAAATGTTGGACACGCTTCGGCACAGACGGCGGCGGCGGCCGCAATAGATTGATAATGGTGATGGCATAGATGATGAATTCCACAGCCAAGGCGCACCGGTGCATCTCTGTCCCGACAGGAGTCACACGAGCCGTCGCCCTGTTCAAACTCCACCGAAGGAGACGAGTAAAAACCCACAATTCCTAGGCTACCAGAGTGGCCCGGGACCACTTGCCTGGCCGGGCCAAAAACAAATATAAAATAAACAAAACAAAACAAAAAAATCAAGTTTTTTTTTTTTTTTAATTTGGTAAAGAATTTCGATGTGACCCTGAGGCAAAAGTCGTTCGATTTATTCTTCTGCATAACATGGTTTATTTTTCAGATTTTTTGGATTTTGTTTGTTTTTTTGCTGGGACCTTCCCTGGTCCTTGCACGGCCGGGCCGCCCGGGAAAACAGGGTGACCTTTGATTTTGTTATTTTTTTGCTGGGACCTTCCCCTGCTCCTTGCACGGCCCGGCTGGT